AAGAACTCAATGATGAAAGTGTTGAAGAATGTGAAGTTTGCATAAGAAGCACAAGTATGAAGGAAGATAAACAAGGAATGCTCGTGGAGGTTATTGGGCTAGAGTGCTAGCGGAATTGGCTAAGTTCACTATGTTCTTCAAAAAGGGAATAACCAGATATAGTTGACAAGGCAAAGGTGTGGTTTTGTATCAATGTGGAGATTGTTGGGATATGATGTCAAAATCACTCCCATATGGTATTCCCTCTTTCATGAGAGGTATTTTCGTCACAGAAAATAGGCTCTTTTATGGAGGCTCATACAAGACATTTTTGGAGAGATAAAACAAAAAGGAAAAATGTAGAGAAGCTTGGGGGATTGAAATCGGGCATTTTTTGCTCAAACCCCTAGCACCATTGTGGTCTCGTATGAGCCAATTTTTCATTGGCATATCTTCGTGATAACGATTGGAAATTTCCATTTGAGTTTTCTTTGCTAGTATATGACGTAATCTTTACATAATCCCAAACTTGTAAATTTCTTCCATTGATAGTGAATGTATCATTACCCCTTGCCCGTGAATGTAGCCTATTTTGGGTAAACCACATAAATATCTGTGTGCCATCTATTTTTATTTGTATTGTGGTTTGGTGATTTTTCATTTAATTTATTCTTCTTGTTTCTATAGTTTCTCAAATATATTATTACACATACATTATTATTCTTAAATATTTTATTTACGTGCTAAAATTATTGTTGTGGGTGCTGACCACATTAATAAGTAGGGCATTGGGTTACCCCCAATTTGCCAACACATATTTAGGATTGACAACAAAGTTGTGAGAAGTAAACTTCAGTGAACCAGAGCCATGTGGGGACCGAAAGTCACTCCTTTAAATGGACGGCTCTATGACAAGCATGATTTGGAAGGTCTGAACCATCCACGAGTGAATTGTGATTAGATGGAGATGATTTTCTTTTGGCATGAATCATTCTCAATATTTTATTTCTTTTTTAAGCCAATTGGCTATACACTAGTTAATGTCAATATCAAGCAAATGCATTATTGTAAACTCAAATAATGAAAGGGAACTTTTGATTAAATAATTTCTTTCTCTTGATCAGTGGGGTTTTCTTTTGTTGTTTTACGTGTCAACTCTCTCCCTCTATATTATGCTTCTCTCTCTCTCTCTCTAGACTATGCTTCTCTCTCTCTCTAGGCTAACAGGTTAGTTATGACTTATGCAGGATTGCAAATCCAAATAATAAAAAATCACACCACTTGTAACCCAAGCTTTTATTTTTACCTAACCTATTAAAAAATCACTAATAATTTAAACAAAAAAAGTAGGGGCTTACCATCCTTACTGAATTACTACAAAAAAAAGAAACCTAAATAACGAAAGGAAAAGTAGCAAAGAATTACTTTTTTTTGAAAAAAAAAAGAAAAAAAAAAAAAAAAAGAAAGAGAATGAAGCACTTTTACATGCGACACATTATTCTCCCACACTCATAAATAGGACTTAGAAAGATAGATTCAAATTTGTTATTTATAGAAGAAAACAAGTGTCGATAAAGAAATCTCTCTTCCTCCATCTGCCCCTTTCTCTATCATTGGTATTCTACAATTATGAGGAGAGTGAAAAATGACACGTGTCAAGGTGAGATGGAACAAAGAATAAAAACCATGTAATGTGAGGTCGTAGGATTGGGTGGGTTGGGAGTTGGTGTTTGGTTTCTAATAAAGTGACCTTCTTCTCCCTAATTCCTGCCTTTCATGACAATCCAACGGCTGAGATCGACATGAAACAAGCTGACTCAAAATTAACGGTTAATACGGACCAATCCCCAAACAAAGCAATTGAAACCAGTTGTCCTTTTTAACTCCTAGTAGTTTAATTTTTTTTTTCCCTTCTTCATATTGCATCATGAAACACGCGACCGTTTTTTCTCAACTTTTGTTCCGGATCCGGCCCAGTCACATTCCGTCAAGTCTTTGGGGCCGGGTCCAGATCGGGGTCCCATGAAATTTTTTTTCGGATCCGACCCATTGCCACCTTTATGATTAGAAAGAGAGCGAAAGAAATAGAGAGAGAACTTAAAAAGAGCGATAGAAATAGAGAGAGATCTTACGCCACGAAAAAAAAAAAAAGAAAGAAAAAAAAAGCTTCCATTGGGTATAAAGAGGGAAAAAGACCAATTTGGCCATAGTACTCCATTCTAAGTAAAGAAAAAATGTATATAGAGCTCAAGTTCTAAACAATCAAATTAAAACGAACCTCAAAAATTTCACTAGAAGAAGTTGTTTTGATACCCAAATATCCTCAAATTGATCATCTTGACATCAAGATGTATGAATATGAGAAAAAAATGGATTTCAAGTTTTGGATAGTATATCTTCCAACGCATTTTTGGACTGACAATTTTCATGATTTTCCAGTTTACATAGATATGCTCGATCAACACTATTTTTTGAAACTTTAAATTTCATGATTAATATCATAAAGATGGACCCGGTTTCTATGCGGCCAGCCCGCATATTGTAGAAATGTGGGCTTGGCAATAAATATATTTTTTAAATATAACTTGATCCTAATTTTTAGAGAATATATAATCTTTAACATGTAGATCATGAATATAACAAAAAAAATATTGAAAACTAAAAATAATATAAAATTAAAAACTAAAAGTAATAATTATATTTAAAAGACATTTGGACCGTTAGTTACACTTGTTTTTAGAGTAGACAATCTATTTGCATCCATTTTTAAGATTAATGTTTTATACCTATGGACTGTATATCGTAGAAATACGGTCCAGCCCACATGAAACAATTTTCCCATAAAGATTGGTTAGAGCTTGAGTCTATACAAGCCGCACCCTTCCAGTAAAATATATTATTTGACAAATAGTGTGTTTTCCTTGTAAGGACAGGAGAGAGAAAATAAACAATTTACGAGGAGAGAGAAATGAAACAACTTGACGTTCAAATATAGGAAGGCAGGACAGTACTTTGATAGAAAGAGAAAATAAGCGTTTTTTGGCAATAGAAAACTCTGCGTGCGTTCGCCGTTAGGAGTGGGAAATAGTTTTTTTCCAAAAGTTTATGCTTCCGCTGCAGCACATTTCCACATTCAAGTAAAATCTATGTTTTTAGGACCAAAAATTTGGGATGTAAATACATCCAACATAAATGAAATTACGTAGGCGCTCTCTATTTGCCATAGAAATAACATAGGCGCTCTCTATTTGCCATAAAAAAAAATAATATCCTGTCCTAAAAATAATATCAATTTTAGCAAACTCCGTTGGTCCAACTCGGAACCGACTGATCAAAGTGGAACTAGGCACTAGCCGATTCAATTTTGGTGGTTCGGGTATTTTTCAAAACACATATAAAATATCAAAAAAAATAAGGGATTTGTCTGTAATGTGTTTTTGAATGATTTTATGATTTTGACAACGATTGAAAAATGTTTTGGTCTTTACTACTTTTATTTATATTTTCCATCTTTTTTTTTAGAAAATTTCAAACACACCCCTAGACAAAAATCGATTTTTTAAAATCTAAATTTTCACTACTTTTCAAGTTCATGTGGTTGCGCTTTGTTTAATCATGCTTTAAGTATTTTTTTTATTTTTTTTTGGATTTTTTTTAACATGTTTTGGGCCGGGCGCCTGAGACGTGCCTAGTTAGGCTAGTTGAACTGGCGGTTTATTTGTTACTCGGACCCGGCTCTTTGTTGGTTTATGAAGCTGGTTTTATTCAACGATCCAAAAATATCAAAAAAATTAAAAAAAAGTTTTTAAGAGATGATCTAAAAAAATATTAAATAAGACTAAAAAAGAAAACTAAAAGGTGTTCCTAGGAGACATACCTTACCGGAACGAGTTCGGTTGCTAATTCTTGACCTAGATTTTAAAAACACTGGTCTTGAATTGAATAGAGACGTTTGATTTTAGATGGTAACATTTAACTCTTTCATACTTCAAAAAATGAAAATTATAATTTCTCCAAGCATTCAGATACATAGAATCGGTTTCCCGAGGGAGTAAATAAATAATGCGTTCGTGCAGGAGTAAGTTATAAGCTCCAGCAATTTAGTTAGCGAAGAAAGAGAAGTGAGAAAGGCATGCATCTTACCTAACTTTTACATGGGTTTAATCTGCAAAATAACCCAATCACAATTTTATGGGCCCCCATACTGTAGAGAGAGAAAGAACCCCTGTTTTTTATCCTCGCCATCGCCCCCACATAATCCAATGCGACCCTCTCTCTTTCCACCACGAGGGTGGTGAAATTTGCCAGGCCTTTCATGCTTTCTCTCTCTACCCTCCAATTGCTGGTCTTTCTCTCTCTACCCCCTCTGACCAGCATTCGATTTATGAGAAGGGTTGGTCGCCTGCAAAACCCAACTCACAGTCAACCACAAACGAATCATTTCCCACCCCTCGAACCTCTCTCTAGAAAATCCACTGTGGGTGATAACCTCTCTCTAGGAATTTGAACTTGGGTCGTTGCTGTAATGCTTCTGGGGCAATGCGTTTTTGTCCGAGATTTGGTACGAGCCATTAAAGCTGGAATTACATGATGAGAGAGAAAGAAGAGAGAGGGAGAGGACGGGTCGTCTGATTGGGTGTGGAGTAGTTGGGAACTACCACCGCCATCACGTGGAGCTCTGGTGTTTGTACCTTTCCACTTTGTTTCTCTCTCAAAAAGACATTAATGCGTTTTAGAGACTAATTTTTGGCCTCTAATCACTTCAGTATAATAGTGGTCGCCCGTCTTTATATTTATTATCTTCAGTTTTCAGCCTCGTAGAGGGCTGGTTTTCCTCAGAGAGCTGGTTCGGGCTTTTCAAATGGGGTGCTCAAGAAGAGAGAGAAACAAATAATTTTCTTGGGTTTTCCCTCTATTGCTGGGTGATATTCTAATCAGATGTATGACGACTAATTTTAGCATCCGCAATTTTTGGGTCTGAATTTTTATTAGACTGTGTTGACCTATTTCTCCTCAAATTCTTATATGTTGGCTCTCTCTCTATGGGCTTGATAATAGTGTGATTGACTAGACTTCTTATTAGCTCAAATTTTGAGTTTAGGGGCTACTTAGTTTTTGGAGTTCTTTTTTGAAAATGGACTTAGTTTTTGGAGTTCTGTTTTTGCACATGAATATCTGGTTCGAGATCTTCTCAAGCTATCTTTATGAAAATCAATCCACTTTTCTTTACTTAATTTTCCTACAATTTTTTTTTTCTCACCTAATTTTCCATTGTCCAGTTTCAGGCTCCACAATTATAGTTAAGGGCATGGTATTTTGTTCTATCTCTGAGAAAAACCTCTTGTTTCTTATACCCATAATAGCTGTTTCAAAAAGTATGCTAACCTTTGTTGTTCAATTGGTTTGACATATTTCTAGTCTTTTCTCTATCCAAATATAAACATTACAAGAAAATAGAAAACTGGTTTTTCCAGTTAGAAGCTTTTCTTATGAAGCATATTCTTCAAGGACCCTTGTTACTGAGATCAGGTAGTTTGTAGCTCTGTTCACTGAGGTACAATTGAAGCTAATTATAATGTTAAGTTAGAATGATGCCTTTTACTATGATTATCAGTTTTATTTGCAGCAGTTGTGCTTGCTACTTCCTCTGTATCAGTTTCTTATTTTCTTCTAAGGCAGATTATTAAAACAAAAATCTGTCTGTTCATTCTATTTTTTATCTTTCTGTTCAATTGTGCTTGTCTTTATCTTCGTTTTTAAATTCTACTCAGTATCGGGCCCTTTTCTATTGATTCTATCAATTATCATGATAAGAATTATGTCTATTAATTCAAAATTTCAGCTTTCTTGAATTGTGTTTGCATACAATATTTTTGTTTAAATGTTTTGTTAGTACTAGGCCCTATTGTGTTGATCGTATTATCATATATGCAAAAAGAACACATATTGATTCATTCCAGAATTTCATCTTTTCCTTTGATTGGCTTCACACATAGAAATCTTCCTTTGAATTTGAAATTTCATTGCTCTCCAGTTGGTTTGGTTATAACTTCACTGTTGATATTTTTTTAGTGTCACAACACCATGGCTGCCGAAATACAGAGGGGGATGATCCCTGGTGAGGCCTGGCGTGCCAATGGGTTCACTAATGGAAAGACCCAAGTGAGGCATGCGGCTGCATTGCCTCTTATCGATGAGTTTTGCTCGGCATTGGGTGGCAAGAGGCCGATTCACAGTGTTTTGATTGCAAATAATGGCATGGCAGCTGTGAAATTTATGCGTAGTGTGAGAACTTGGGCTTATGAGACATTTGGGACTGAGAAGGCGATTTTGCTGGTGGCCATGGCTACACCAGAGGACATGAGGATTAATGCAGAGCACATTAGAATTGCTGATCAGTTTGTTGAAGTGCCTGGAGGAACCAACAACAATAACTATGCGAATGTGCAACTGATAGTTGAGGTGGGTTCTTCATGCCTAGTAATGAATTATTTGTTCTCTTTCTTCTCTTCTTATCTTGATTATTGGAATAGGAATACCATATTTTGCTCTCTCCAATGGCTTGAATTGAATGCTTTTCTCTTTGCTTTTTACCTTTTATATGTCAGTGGGACTCTCTCTCTCTCTCTCTCTCTCTCTCTCTCTCTCTCTCTCTCTCTCTCTCTCTCTCTACTACTACTACTACTACTACTACTACGTACGTACGTACGTACTACGTACGTACTACGTACTACGTACGTACGTACGTACGTACGTACGTACGTACGTACGTACGTACGTACGTACGTACGT